ATGGAGCTCGAAGACGATCTCCCAACTGGCCTACCACATTTAGATGAACCAATGGAGGATGAATATACTCCTACTGAACCGGCAAATTCACCACGCCCGGAGACAGGAGAGAAGAGGAAAACGGATTGGCCTGCACCGACACACAGAGCGAGATACAAGCAAAGTCAAGCCCTTTTTCAGACTGAGCCAATTCCTGATGTCCTCCTAGCACTGGCTAGTCAGACACCATCACAACATTTACAAGATGAGCTTGCCTGTATTTCTATTGATATTGATCTGCCTACTGGAAAGGCAGCAAAGAATCCTGCCTGGCTCAGAGATCCAGAGGCCTTCATGTTGAAACAGATAAAGAAAAATCATGTTGAGGTATCTGAAAGACGCATGACACCAGAAGAACGCGCTGCTTTCAAGGAGGCAAAGGGAATCGAGGTGAAGAATTTCATCTTGGCCAAGGCCTTCGAGAAACTGCCAGAGTCTTTCAAACCGGATCCTTCGCAAGTAATGCACATGAGATGGGTGCTCGCCTGGAAAGTTAATCCTGAAACTCAACAGAGAAAGCCAAAAGCACGAGCAGTGATTTTGGGATATATGGATCCTCAATATGAGAGAAGACCGACATACAGTCCGACAGTGAGCAGAACATCAAAACAATTGTTTTTACAACTGGCGGCGTCATGTGGTTTCCATGTAGCAAAGGGTGACGTCTCAGGAGCATTCCTGCAAGGAAGAGAATTTCAAAGACAAGTTCTATGTGCTCCTTTACCAGAAATCTGTGAGGCTCTACAGCTGGAACCTGGAAGCGTGACACGACTGACTCGTGCAGCATACGGCCTTGTAGAAGCTCCACTAGAATGGTATTTGACTGTAACTCCTTTCTGGAAGAACTAGGTTTTCTACGACAAGTTTCTGATCCTTGAGTTTGGGGACTATTCAGTCCTGAAGGAGAACCAATTGGTTGGATATGTGGACACGTAGATGATTTCATGTTTGCAGGAAGTCCCACCGATACCAGGTGGCAAAACATCTGCAAGCAAATACAAGAACGATTTCGCTGGGGCGAATGGGAAATGAATAGCTTTGTACAATGTGGAGTTACCATCCAAAGACAAGAAGATGGTGGCTTTTTACTGACTCAGCCCGAATACGTGAACCAAATTGATGAAGTGTTCATGTCAAAGAAACGCTGGCACGAAATGGAATCACCAGCTACTGCCTCAGAACGACAACAGATGCGAAGTGTTTTGGGTGCCCTATCATGGCACGCGGGTCAACTGGCGATGGAAATGAGTGCGCCGGTGGGCTTATTGCTGTCCAGAGTGAACCATGCTACAGTTTATGATCTGATTCAGACCAATAAGCTTTTGAAACAAGCCAAAGCAAGGAAGTCACAAAAGATTTGGGTCCACCCAATTCCATTGGATCAACTGATAGTGGTAGCATGGGTGGATGCATCACATGCCAATCGAGAAGACGGTAGCAGTACAAAAGGTGTTTTAGTAGGCTGCGCCTCAAAACAGATTTTGGAAGGAAATTTGGAACCTATTACACCAGTTTATTGGACTTCCTCAAAGATTACTAGGGTATGCCGATCCAGTGCTTCGGCAGAGACTCGAGCAGCAGTTGATGGTGAAGATCAACTATATGCAATTCGATTTCAATTAGCTGAATTTTTGGGCTTTCATGCAAATGTCTGGGACTGTGATGCTACAGTCAGAAATGTGACAGGTGCCCTGGTGAGCGATAGCAAGAATGTTTATGACCGTTTGACACAACCCATTGACACTGCGTGGTGCTGAGAAGCGTAATGATTTAGAGACCTTATGTTTGAAAGAAGCCATGGAATCATGCGGAGTGATAGTCCGCTGGGTGAATGGGGACAGTCAGCTGGCAAATTCCTTAACGAAGGACAATGAGAATCATCAGGTGATGCTGTTTTTACACAGAAACTGTCGATGGAGAATAGTATATGATGAAGAACTTATGTCTGGAAAACGTCGAAAGCAGCTTGGAGTGCACACATTACAACAAAACAATGAATGCGATGCGATGGTGAACATTGACTGTTTATGCGATTCACACGGCACAGGCCTGAGAGTCTTTTAACTTTTTAGAATTTTGGACCCGTGCAGATTCCACTGGGTCACAATCATCACATAGACATGGTCGATTGGACATTTCGACTCAAGCCCCCATTTGTATCTCAGGAAAAGGGATTGTAGGGCGGCAGCGCCGGGATGTGCTCTCGCACAGTATACGTCAACTATGGTTCCATCAAAGGAGTCATCTATATCATCACCAGCAACTAGCCATGGATCAAGACCAAGGAAGAACCCCGGAATCTTCGGGGAAAAAATGGGATACCGGGTTGTCGGCTTTTCATTACGATGGGGATTTCTTGGCAAGATCATGGATAGATAACGTTATATGTGTAACTGACACTATCATTCACTATCATTGGGGTGTGTCTGAAAATGTTCAATGGTGAAAATCTGAAACATCTCAGCCAAAAGAAGTAATTTGAATCCACAAACCACAGTCCTTGGCTTGTTTGGCTCTGGATCAAAACACATCTGAAATTAGCCACCTAGGCTTGTTTGGCAGGACACCAACATAGCTAGTTGTATCTTACTGGACGTTGATCCTCCGCCCTATCAACCTATCTGGCCCCGATAAACCATCACCCAACATATGAGCACTCATCTCTCATTTTCCCAACATGATTCTGATGAACGTTGTTTACCTATCCCAATTGACTAAACCCATTTTGGATGTCATCTTTTGGTTTTCATGACTTATCCCAACATTTTTTAAAAAGAGACTTTCCGCCACAAGATGAACTCCCCTCAGTTCCGCTCCTGGATTTCCGTCTCGTAACCCGAGAAGAGCTCCTGGAGAGTTTCTCACCAGGTTTCACCGGTCGTTGATCAAGTTAACCAAGTGGAGAGGGGAAGATCAACAAGAAACTTTGGATCTATGGGCCATTTTTAGTAACAGTGATCTGGTTGGTGGTTTCAACCCCCCTGAAAAATATTAGTCAGTTGGGGTTACTATTCCCAATCGATGGAAAAAATAAACATGTTCCAAATCACCAACCAGTGATTTTCTAAAGCTGTCGAGCATAGCTCAAACATATGTACCAGAAGGATCCAAAAAAAGGGATGATTGAGATTTGGAGGAAAGCACAGAGAACTGAAAAGCCCTTCCTGCCATCCTGTCCTGCAGGCCGAGCTCTTTGTAGATCTCCTTGATTCTTTCTTCTTCTTCACTTCCGACCTGTGGCTCAAGTTGCACCTCCAAATTTCATGGTTTTGCGTGGTTTAGCATCAACATTTGCCCATGAACATTGCCATCGCGGGTCACTGTCACCCATTTTCAGGTCCTTAAATGGATAAATGGTAGCCGGTACTTCAACCACCATTAACCGCCCATTGAAAACCATCCTAGGCCTCGCAAACACCGTAGTGCTTGTCCAGGTAAGCTTTGGCCTCACAAAGGAGCCACGGCTTTGGGACCAGAACTGGGAAACTACTTAGACAACAGCGCGCCGTCCCGGGAACGTACCATCCTTTCGGAATGCGTGATTCAGATTCACTGCTTGTGAATTGATTTGAGGATGGATCAAAACCTCTTCCATACATCATTTCTTGAGGATGAGCCCCATAACAAACCAGCTATTTTGGAGTGAAAACCTGGGAATTCAATGGGTTTTGACCCGTAGTAGTTCCTCAACCAAGCGGAGGACCTCATGATTACGAAGGACCAATGATTTCGACACATCATAACACATCCAACATGTCTGCGTAAACTTTTGAACATGTAACATCCACCATTTATAGATGTTTTTCCCATTAAAGCCTTCATATTTCGTGGAATTCCCAGCTTGCCACGTAGAGAAAATGTCCGGAGGCCCCAATCCCAAGCACCTCCGGAGTACTTTGCTCATGGTAGGCGTGCGCGAAAAGCCAACTGCACTTCTTGTCCTGGTGTGTGCAAACTTCACTGGTTGGTGGTGCAATAACCGTCTAGAAAAATATGAGTTCGTCAGCTGGGAAGGACGACATCCCATATATTATGAAAAAAACCTGTTCCAAACCACCAACCAGATAAGCGGGTTGTAACCCCATAATATCTCCCCAGTTCACCAGTAAACCATTGAGTATCGGCTGTCCTGAATGTCAGTGCCCACCTGTTGCGAATAGGAACCCACCATGGCCCCACGGGATGTCTCTGAAATGGGAATCGACCTCTAAATTAGATAATGTAGAATTTGATAGAAGTCCTCATAAACACGTTCTCAGTAAATTGAATTGCCATAACTTGCCATCATCAACTTGGGTAACCAAATCATTTAATAGGATGATTGTACCCTATTCTCAGGCAGAACCAGTTGGCTTAAAATCTGAACACATTCCGTGTCATGATTCCCACTGGAACTCTTCACGGGGTGGATCGGATTCATCGACAGAACTTGACAATAAGATATGTAATGATATATATATAATTATATATTATGCATTTAATTTGGGTTTCTCTAAACATACGCTACTTAATGGTACTTACATGTACCCCTTACATCCCCTTACCCCATTCCATTCCCGGGTGAATAATCTTCCCTTTGAAATGACTTTTTTCACGCGTCATTCCCCCATCTTCGCTACGGCTGCGCACCTTTCCAAGCACCTCGGGACTTGCAAAGGCATCCAAATAATCATCCTGCGCCTCCCGTGGTGGCGTCTTTATGATCCCCATCCCATCGCTCCCATGGCCCATGGCTTCCGAAAGAACGGCGTTCCGATTTCGGCCTGGCTATAAAATTGCTGCAGCCAATTTTGAATCCTTCCCGAAAATCAATGAAACTCATGTCACATCTGCCAGACCTTGAAATAGAAAAACTCACAGGAAGTTTTGTGGCTTCTACTTTCCAAAAATCCTTCAGTCAAATGAACACCTAAGTGGGTTCTAAACATCGAAGCCCAACATCAAGTTGACCGTTATTTCCATCATTTCGTCTCTGTAAAATACAGTATTATAAATCCATAATTTGGTTGGTAAAATACATCATTTCTGGGGTTAAACACCCGAAAAATGACCCGCTTCGCCTGGAAGTAGATACCCATCTCCCTTAGGTGACGATAGCTGCAGCTTTTGGCATCATCTAAGACTGGGAAGCCATTCAAGATATTGACTGATGTTTCAAGCTGTTTTAATGATATCTGACTGCCATAGATCGCCTCAACCGATCTCAAATGGCCATATTCGCTTGCCACCATCCCACGACATGAAAATCGGACCCACGAAGCATGGTCGAAATGCGGAGCAAATGAGTCCCACACAGCAATGCTTCTCTGGCCGTGTCGAAGGCTGTTCGGTCTCGAACTCCCGTGACCAGCATGGCCAATGCCACTGGTAGGTAGAAGGAATAGAAAGCCGTCTTGTACTTCCTGAGTCACACAGCAGAAGGACACACAGTCGTTTTGCCGCTGAAAAAAACCTCTCGCTGATAGCAACGGATAGCACCAAAGAACTGCTCAATATATGTAGTTTGAGGCTGGCCTCCTGATTGGGGCTTCAGAGTGGGGGTTTCAACGTAATGAGGGTCACTGGATAGCATGAGTTGTTTCTTGAAGAAGACAAGCCTGGGAATCAGTATATAAAGTACTGTTTCCATGAATTTTGTCAGAAGTATGACCACATGATGTAAAGCAAACCTGGAAAAGTTTTCCAAATGATGAAACCAAACCTCGTCGAGATGCCTAAATCTGCCAGTATCTAACGCATTGAACTATTGTACTGACTATCTATCTATATATTATTATTATATTATACAGTATATATATACTAGCTATAGATGCATGGTGATTTACGCGCGTATAAATAAATACATATATGTATACAATGCATATGTATATTACATTACATTACTATACACGCACACATCGGAGACCCAAGCGTTGTTACCATCTGAGTTTTTCTCCCAAGGGTCACTATCAGCGTCCAGCGCTCCGTTGTCAACTCCTGCGGTTTGTGCTCGGTGTTTGTTGGGGCCAGGCATCCATGCCAGGTAGGGAGGGAAGCCAAGAGCACAAACACATGATGAGATTCCTTTCAATATCAGCAAATCCTATTCAAACTGAAGAATATCAACCAATTATATCATCTACTGTGCATATCTCTGCATATATATATATATATTATCAATCAATCAATCCATCCATCCATCCATCCATCCATGCATGCATCCATCCATATACATATCAATTTTCAGTTGTATAAATTTATATCATTTACATCCTTCTATTCTTGCTGGTTAAAGCCCCTTCAAAATTATCATAATTCAAGCCTCAGCATGTCAACCCATCATCAGCCAGCTACCTGCCTCCAGCTCGCAGTTGGCACAAATGGAGTCTAACAGTTGGCCGCATTCCGTTTGGAAGGTTGTCTCCTCACAGCCACGGAGACCAACCCCAACTCCACACACCAGTGGTGCTGGGAACATTGACATGTATATATATATATACATATTGTATATCTGTATGTATATATATATCTATACATATATATCCTAAGTCATGGGGGTACCACATTTATCACCCATCTTATTTTTACGATTTGCCATGATAAACCATCCATTTTGCGTTACCCCCATTTACATACTTGATGGCTCATCCCAGTCAGTAAGTGTTTTATAACCCCAGTTATAATTGGACTTACCCTACTTACCCTACTTATAACTGGGCTGAACTAACCCATTTACAATCTAAGATCAATAACCACCATGTGTATATATATATATACACCTATATATATATACATCTATGTATATATATATATAGCCATATATACACAGTATATCAGTTGTAAGTGGTGCATTGCATGATCAAATGCAGCTATGATTTCAAAGCAGCTGCACCTGGAACCAGGTGGATTTTTCAGGTCCAGTGAGTCGCCCCATGGCTTTCCAGGTCCCAGCCGGATCCACCAATGGTACGTCCAAGGCGCCAAAAGAAGATCCACCAACCACGGGAAGATCTCTTCCTGTCACAATCCCTGAGTCCCACGAAGTTGGTAAAGACTGTTCGACCTTTCTGGGGTTGGCTGATTTCTACGAAAGATGACCAGCCATGTGTTCTTCTCTACCCGACTTGACGCAAGAAGCTGGTAGAAGTTGCGCGGATCTCGTGCCTGTCCGAAATGGCGCTTCACGATCTTGTAAACCTCAGCTTTTCCAGGGGGAAAAACTGATGGGTCTCCAATCTATGGCCATCTCTTGTGGACAGTGCCCAGACATCACCGCCTTTTTTATTGTCGGGTCACATACATCTCCACCATCAGGAAGTCGTTGGTATTCAGCAAGCCAACTTCTGGCAGCCTGGCAGTTGACATTTTCTGATATTTCTCGAATGGTACCAGTTGTCATTGAGGTTGACTGGCGGCACCGAGAATGGAACATGCCCATGCAGTTTGGGAAGGAGTTTGCCATGTTGGATCACTGGTATGTCTCAAAAAAGTTCTTGGAGACCTCCATCCAAATCATATGGTCCAGTGTTGAATCGATGCTGGTGGTACCCAAATCTGAACACAAAGACCTGTGGAATGTAGTGGTCGGGGTACCCAGATCACCAAATTCTGAAACGTGAAACACAACACAAAAAAATATGGGTGACTCTCTGAAAACTACAGTAAACACATGTAAAAACAAGGTAGCCAAGAAAATCACCACAAATTCAAACTGTTTAACGATATTCCCCTTTTCTGGACAATCCTGGGTGAATTCAACTCCATTAAACCCACTATAGACGCCATCCCATTGAACCTTATTAAATGCCATCCCATTAAATCCATTTAAATCCCATTACACCCCATTATACAAAGTACCAGTAAAACAGCTAGACACCATTGTGAAATTGTATTTGTACACCAATTAATAGCTACTTTAAACCATTGAAGAATTGAACAGAATCAACAACCATTTAAAACATTCAAAAACTATTAAGTACATTCAACAGCCACTAAAAGAACTCTTCAACGTTTCAAACTCTTCAAACCCACCAACCAAACCGAGGTTCCTACATACGACGCGCCTGTACCAGCAAGGATTGCCACGTCGGGTCACAGATCCATCCATCATGTCATCCGCCATCAACATGCAGGCCTCTAGGGATGTCATCGAAACAACCGAGGCAACCGGTCACCGGTCAACGGTCACCGGTCATGTACGGATGGAAGACATGGTCCATTTCTGGATGATTTACTATCAAAAATTATGGATTTCATGGATGGTTTGCTTATGGAAACACGGTTCCATTGAGTTCGATGATAGGCATGGTGATTTTCCAGCAGGCCATAGGCTACCATGGGGAGTCGATAGAAAATGGATGTTTTTGGGAAATCCAAACCAGAATGGGAATATGAACCAAATTTTCATATTGCATCTGCTTCGGGATGAATATGTATATAATTATATATATATATACGTATATCTAAACATATATACATACATACATATATATCTAAATATATATATATGATGATGAACATCCATCACATTTCAATGTGTGTTTATACATGGATATATAATAAACATCATATAACTTATAACATATAATATTAGGCTGATTCTCTCTTTGTGGTGCCCGTGGATTTTGACCCTACCCTCGATGAAGATTTCCTTCTACTTCCACCAAATATAGGGTAAAACATGGTAAAACGAAGGCTATTCCTCGACAATCCTTGACAATCATCTGTTGAACCCCCCAACATCTTCCCAACTATCTAGGGGTTGAGAACCGAAGGATGTGAGCCAACAAATCTCTTGGGCACCGGTGTCGTTTTGGAGATTCGTTTTACGGTGTAGTTTTAAAAAGGTGAGAACCAAGACATAGGGGTGAACATAGGATTTGTCACAGGACATGCTTTCATCACATCATCTGGGGAGATCAATCTGATGGACACAGATTTAAACTTGCAAATGACTTGAAACATGTTGAACACCCTCGCCCCATAAATATGAAGGTCACTTGGAATCCTCTCGTTTTTTTGGGTATGGAACCTTTTCAACCCCAAAATGATACCACGAACCAGTGAAAATGGGCATGCTGGTTCAACATTAAAAAAGATCAAGTTTGAACAATTTTGCAGGTCTGTGTCTACCCTTTTTCAGCCTTACCCAAATCACAATTTCCAATTAAATTACATCCCCGTTGTTTGTTGGTCAAACAAGCAAATACCATGACATCCCGAATTTATATGGGTAAATAGTCCCCAAACGTAAAAATCCGTGGGGCGGCGTGTTCTGTTGATGTTCTTGTGATACATCTTGTGATAGCTTTAGCTTCACCTATAGATAACTTCTGCGCGGGTTTTTGCTTTGCTTGCGTTGCTCCGGCTGGGTATAGCCTTTCGGTTGAGGCTTGGTACACCTTTGGTTGAGTCGCAGTTCTACAGTATCTCCTGGCTTAGCTTGTGTTATACAAAACTTTACAGTAACTTCTTCTTCGGCTTCTTCTAGTTCTAGTTTGAATTCGAGTTCTAGTCCTATAGGTACAGCAGTACCTTGCTCTTATTCAAGCTTTAGATTTTAGCCTAGCCCTAGCTCCAGCAATGGCTTGATCTTGTTCTAGCTTTAGGTATAAATCTAGATGTAGCTCTAGCTATAGCTTTAGGTTGAAACCTTCTTGTACCTATAGCATCCTATAGCTATAGGTTGAGATCTAGCTGTAGCTATAGCTTTAGGTTGAAACCTTCTTGTACCTATAGCATCCTATAGCTATAGGTTGAGATTTAGTTGTAGCTCTAGCTATATACAGTAGCTTTAGGTGGATACCTACTTGTATCTATAGCTATAGGTTTAGGTTGAAATCTAGTTGTAGCTATTGCTATAGCTATACCTGAAATCAATCATCTCTTCCACGGATTTTTGCTTCGGCTGCCCTACCCCCCTCCCTATAGACTATAGTCTAGTATCCTCTATTCTAGTTTCGTCTGGTCTAGTCTCGTCTCGTCTCTTTTCTCAAGCGAACTGTCACCTTATTTACATCATCCGCGTCTCGGTGGTCATCGTCATCATCATCCTCCTCCTCGTCATCAGCCTCATCATCAGCATCATCCTCATCATCATCCTCATCATCATCACACCAACCTTTTACCCCACCACCTTTACACAACCCCTGCTTTGGGCCTGTAGGCGAAAGGCCAAAGGGCCCGCGGAATGTTGAAGGCTAGAACCACATATAACCAACCCCGATTTCCGTCCCATCTGGGAATCTTCTGTTGGATAAAACATACCTTTACCATCCGGACATTTCTTACTGCTATGAACAATTGATGAAGCTATGCCCATTTATAGTAATTATTTATAGCGTTTTATAGTAATTATAGATGATTTACCTATTAAATCCTATTAATAAACCATCACCAATTTGGGGGTACCCCTACTTGAGATGATGATAGATGATGTAAACTGGCCCCCAAATGGTGAGTAAATGGAATGGATTATCATTGGGTTTTCCACATGATAGATAACTTCCCCATCAATTTAATCGTGACTTTTCAAAGCTAGTAACACGTGGGGTTGAAATAGCTTCCAGTAAACTAACAGAGTCATGAAATGTTATGAAAAAAACACCAGAACTGTAGGTATCTGTAGATCATGTCCGGGAAAGCTATCGATTTTCCATAGATTTTCCATAAGTTCTGTAACAAATTACCACCACATCATCTCTGTACGACGTCCACGGAGCACCTGCAGGTACTCCACCGCCCAGCCCAAGACGGCAAAGCGGTGAAGGTCGGCATTGCTGGGTTCCCGGCCCTGGGACTGGGCTGACTGGGCAGATGACTGGGGGTACCCTCATGACATACTGGAAACCTCCAATTATACGATTACTTGCATTTAGTTCCATTACTGTCTATTGTTTTCGAAAACCAATTACAAATTAGATTAACTTAGCAGTTATATGTTGTCACCATAAGAAGTTCACAACCGATAGTTTGTTACTATTAGTAGCTCCCTAGTATCTGATTAGCAATTGAGTAGATGCTGTAAATGATGAGTTTACCAGAAAATTAAAATAACATAGGAACAAACAAATGAGTGAATGCATTGAATCATTCAGTACATGGGTTCAACTAAGTAAAACACTAGGGACAAACCGTTCCATGTGAGAACTGATTCATAAAATTTGGTGAATGGATTAAACGATGATTAAACAAGGTTTAAAAGTCAAGAAGTTATACCGAATCCAATCACCTATCCCAATCAGGACGGCTGAAATTATCCACTTGGACATCTTGGGAAAGGTCCAACTCGCCCCTCGGCCCCTGGGTCCTGATGCTTCATCAGGGCAACGCCGGTTTCGACCACGATCAATCCTCTGTTCATCTTGCCACCTTGCCTGACAGAAATTCACCCTTTTGCCGGGAAAATCATCGGTTGAAGAACAACAAAACATATGGAATAATTCGGAGGTAAGGATCATCGTTTCCAATTGATTATGTGACTTGCCTTAAATCTATCCATGCCGAGCTGGGGCAGCGCCAAGTCTGCCAAGTTGCGTATTGTACTCCAGAGAGCGCTCCACCCAAGATACCTCGACAAGAAAAAACGCCAAACTGGCCATGCGATCACAACCCGCTGGCCCGGAATTTCACATCAGCATAGCTGGTAATGATCTTCATCCCATCAAACACTCATGGAAAATCCGAACATCCACGCCGAAGATCCACTGGAAAGATCGGAGTCAAATCATCAGATGGAAAGAGCGTAGCTTTTTTCGCCATCTGCAGCCGCCCCTCCCATCCTCCCATCCGCTTTCGCAGACCGCGCACCTCCTTGGAAGGCAATTCATAGAGGCCTGGCAGCTCATTCACCATCTCCTTCAGCACCATCCGGCCAACCTTTTCGAAGGACGCCTGGGGATCCGAGAGGTCATACTCCTGGAGCGGATCCACGGCAGCGGTATTAGGTGAGCATAGGTGAGCTATGGTGAGCTATATCTGAATGTTACACCTGACAAAGATCACGCGATGTTGGGGAACTTACCTTCTGAACTGCCCGTACTTCGAGTTTGATCTCCGAACATGATGCTCATCCATAAAGCTTCCTAGAAGTTTCATCAGTATTGGCCAGCTGTTCCCTCAACTCCTCCGGGTATTCTGTGGTATAGGCAGGTTTTCCCTTTGGCCATGAAGTTGCTGGGTTCGCTCCCAGTCCAGTGGTTGCACCTGGGATCATGAAGAAACTTCTGGTGATAATGATGACTATAACATACTATACTGGTTGGGAAAATCACAATTTTTTAATGGGAAAATCACCTATTTCTATGGCCATGTTCAATAGCTATGATGTATAATTTCTGTTTGGTGGTTGACCTACCCCTCTGAAAAATATGAGTTTGTCAGTTGGGATTATTATTCCCAATATATGGAAAAATGTTCCAAACTGCCAACCAGTATAATTGTCATGAGGACGCGATGATTATGTATATAGTTTTGGAAACCAATAATTAGCATCCAATCGCATCCAATCATCATCCAATTATCACCCAATCATCATCCAATCATCAAACTTCCATGGCTATGAGTAAAACCCTGGTTCCCGAGGTACCCGGATGGTACCCAACATTTCATAGCTGGGTGGATAGTGATTCCCCCGGTCATATGGCAATTATGATAATAGCGAACTTGAGTCCTATCCCCCATATCTTCTAAATTACTATGTATATCATGGTATATCCCCAGTCATTGTGGGTTTTTCTCATCGTAGAAATATCATGTATATATATATATTATACCATTGTATATCCCCAAATTACGGGCGGGTAATCATCATCCAATCATCAATGATGGTATATCATAGTATATCAATCATAAAATCATGGTATATCATGAACAATCATGGTTACTAAATCATAGTTTTTCTCATCATACTGGATGATCATTATCAACAAACTATATCTTACTATGGTTTTTCTCATCATTTGGATTTTCTCATCAATAACCAATCATATATGTGTTGAGCGCAGTCTTGGACTTCATTGCTCATGGAAGAAGAACCAATCATATATTATCATAACTAATCATCAAATGTTTATCATCAAGATTGTACGAGCAGATGGATCTGCATCCAAGTTGCTAAGTGGGTAGTGCATTACCTTTATGATGTCAATTTTATCATCAAACATATCAAACTGAGGCTTTCCCATGCCGGATCTCACCTTGGCGCCCCGGCCACTTTTTTCCACCACGGCCTCTGCCGTCCGGGTCTTCGTGGCAGAGTTCCGCACCAAACGTCCTGGCGGAACGGCTGGCATCCACAACCATGGGGATTGAGGAAGCATCAAAAGTGATCAAACGTGTGGAATTTAATCATCAGATTTTCCATCAAACATGTGGAATTTAACCATCAAACATGTGGATTTAATCATAAAAAGGTGCGGATTTTCCATCAAACATGTGGAATTTAACCATCAAACATGTGGATTTAATCATAAAAAAATGCGGATTTTCCATCAAACATGTGGAATTTAACCATCAAACATGTGGATTTAATCATAAAAAAATGCGGATTTTCCATCAAACATGTGGAATTTAACCATCAAACATGTGGATTTAATCATAAAAAGGTGCGGATTTTCCATCAAACATGTGGAATTTAACCATCAAACATGTGGATTTAATCATAAAAAAAATGCGGATTTTCCATCAAACATGTGGAATTTAACCATCAAACATGTTGATTTAATCATAAAAAAATGCGGATTTTCCATCAAACATGTGGAATTTAACCATGAAACATGAGGATTTTTTCGCATCAAGCAATTTCAATGTTTTTCCACGAAAAGGTACGTATTGATCTTCGTACGCATCTGGAATGTGGATTTGGGATCTTACAGGATCCTACCATCTGGGGATTTGATTTGATGATAGAACATGATAGAACCATTACCCTCTGGTAATTTAACATAACTATGGAAAATCACCATGCTATTCATGGGAAAATTCACTACAAATGGTGATTTTCCATAGTTATGTTAAATTACCAGAGGGTATAATGTGGGGATCAGGAACCATCAAAAGTTGAGGATCAAAAGTTGAGTATCAAACATCGGGATTTCACAAAAAAAACACTTTGATAAACAATTTTGACTCCCAAAATGGAGGGTCATTTTGCGATATGAAAACGTCTCATTTTGCGATATGAAAACGTCTCATTTTGGGTTAAACAGCACACACAGGATTCTTTTTTTGTGGTAAATGATCACATTCTTTAGGTTCGTTTTTAGGTTATTTTTTGGGGGGTTACCATGATTTACCCCAAAAATCATGAGCCATGCCCAAATCAACGATGGCCGGAGGGTCCCGAAGACCGGTGGTTCTCGTTGCCCTTGGTTCTCGATGCATCTGACCCCTTTAAACTAAATGTGCAGATGGATTTCTCATATGTATATTGTCTTATATATCATACTATATCTTCTCATAGGGTATATGAGTATACATTGTCAACATCATATGCATCATCATTTTATTGCCGTGTTCATTACACTAACAGTGTCATGATGAGAAGTATTGTGTACATATATATAATACACATACGCATGGCATATATATATATATATATACATAGACATTTACAAACACATATACACCTTCACATGTAATGTACGCATACACATACACACACATGCATATATATCTATATATAATTGTATTTATACACATACAAACATATATACATATCCATATGCATACAAAAATACACAAGCATACAGAATATAGTAATGATACATTACTCATAGTCAATGATACATACATACCTACTTACCTACCTAGCTACCTAGCTAGCTAATCTCTCTGTCTGTCTATATATCTACCTATCTATCTATCCATCCATCCATCCATCCACCCATCCAGCAATACATGATATCTATGTATGATATGATATGGCTTGATCATAGACAATGGATACGATGTATATGTGTATATATATATGTGTATTGCCATCCCACGAAATTGCCCTAGGTACACTGGATCTCTGTGAGAAAGCCAATCTAGACCCATGAATGAGTTCAAAGCACGATTGACAGAAATGACATGAGAATCCAAACAACTATACAGTAACACTTGTAAATGATGCGAGTAGCACCCAAATGGCGCACAGTGACAAATTTATCCTGAGACCGCCACGGACACACCACGTTGACGACGAGAGAGGAAGCCTAGGGAAACGCTGTTGGTAGCCACAAGAGTTGGTGATCATTACCAAATTCAAAGCCTCCAATATGATCCAATATTCATATCAAGAAACGTCTATCAACTTGTACTTATATGAGGTTGGGTCAAAACCTTGTTCCCTGCATTTCACATCAAAACAACTGATAGTTCTGGATGGCCATGCCCCTAGATAGCATGGTATCTCTATATTCTACAGTATATGTATTGATCCATAGCCATACAATATAACTCCTTTCCCCTATCTTCTAATAGGGCTTTGGAGCTCCGGGAGCTCCGAACCTTTGGTCAAAACTGCAGCGCCGGCGGAAGCAAGCAGCAGCCTCACATGGGCGCAATTGACCGATTTAATCCCCTGAAAGACTCGAAAATCATGAGAAAAATCAGCTAATGGCTGCGACAAGATCCCAAACAGTCCGAAAATGGATCTGAATGCTACCAACAAAGTGCCAACAGACCCGGTTTGAATCAAATTTATGGCCCCGAGCCTGGTGCTGGAGCCGACTCCATTGGCTCCAGCTCCTGCACAGCCGTGTGATCCTATTTCCTTGTAGTGAAATAGATCTGACGCACAAGACCTTGGGATTATATGGTAATGGGTCAAAATGAAGGCACCCAAAACCGCAGATTCTGTTCATTCCCCACCTGTCAGGTGAGGGTTCTTAGATTTTATGTCAGCTGTCCCGCCTCCCGCCTCCTGCTCCTCCTCCTCCGCCGGACCTCAACTGCAAGCTCTTGATCGCAGTGGTCCCAGCCGGACCTCGACCACAAAGAATCTCCGAAGATATATCAGATAGAATGCCAGAAAGAATGTCAGACGATATGCCAGATACATTTGCAAGAAAGAATGTCAAATAGAATATGATAGAATGTCAAAGTATATGCCAGAAAGAATGTCATATATTGTCAGATAGAATGTCAGAATAAATATGACATATATACTTCCAGATGGTATGTCCGAAACTATGTGAGAATAGTGGTTCAGGGTGGGGATCACTCGAATAAAGTAATTTTAGTATTTACCATTCAATTTTAGGGTAGACCCATACCCCTATGGGATTATTTGAACTATCTATTTTGTCGGGCCCAAGACCTCCGGTAGTCAAACGTGGCCATGCTCCCCAGTTTTAGATGATGTCCCATGATTTTTCCACGCTCTAAACTAAAACCTCCGTTGCAAGAGATTCCACCTGAACCTCTTCTGGCCGCCGAGCTTGATGATGGGTATGTGCCTGGCGTGTTCATGTTGGAGTCATAGGGCTTTCCGTTTTGGTCATAGGGGTACCCCCCAACTCATCGGAAATTATATAAATTAGACCATTTGAGTATTGAAACCCATGTTTTTCGGGGATCCACCATTTTAAGAAACCAAAGGGACGAAGGTCGGACGAAGTTGGACTGGAAAGTTCAGGACTGCAAAGTCGGACGAAGCTCAAAACACGATGATTCGGGAACGTTCAGGACAAGTTCGTTATATGTGGCACACCCAATGATAAACTATCCCGATTGAACCAGAAAGAAGCATATACCCTCTGGTTATTTAACATAGCCATGGAAAATCCCTCATAAACGGAGGTTTGAATGGGAAAATCATCTATAAATGGGCCATCTATACCATGGCTATGTTGAATAACCAGAGGGTACTATAAACGCTCGCAGGTGAGGTTTACTAATTTATTGGATTTCCCATATTACCCATCTTTTATGGGTTTATTTGGATTGATATCTCCAGAATCACCAGGTTATCATCAAAGTTGTGGGTGATTTTTCAGTCGTTGGTTCAAGGAGACAACACTTCAGTCCACTCCACTGACCCATATGACTACGTGCATTGCTTTTCTTCATGTGTATTTTATACATGTGTATTTCTATTTCTATTATATATATATACATACACATATTTGTATATATATATATGATTATATATGTATGTATACATGTACACACATTCTGTATTTATCTATGTATATATACACGCACCCCCGGATATATACCCCAAAGTTCTCTTGAGGCCGCTTCGCGGCCTCGGAGTTGAGCTGTCGACACCTCGGATCCCGATTCCGGTTTTTCGACGATGAACACCATGGTAAAAACCATCAAAAAATCATCAAAAACCAGTGGTTTATATCAAAACACCATGAACAATCCAACTATATCATGTATCAGTGATGTATTAAAAGGTGAATAAAAACACTTTAAATACTATTAACATCATTGGGCTTCATTGGTGTATCAAAGTGTTAGTTACATTATGTTACATATGTTACATTCTGAAGTCCAACAGTTTATGACCCCAAAACACGTCCAAACGCAGCCCAACAGTTGGTGTATTGGCCTGCGGAGAAGCCGACGCAGGCAGAGCCTTGGCGTTTTCGGTGATGTTTGAATTTATGGTAGATATATCGTTTATGGTCAACTATTGGACGGACATGGTCAACCGCTTTAGTTTATGGTTCATGGTTTTGAAAACAAACACGAGGATCATTGTGGTTTATGGTAGATATATCTATAATAATCTATAATATATCTATAATCAATGGGGGTTATAAACCAGCCCATTCAAACTAATCAAACAGTGAGGTCATGATCAAATTCATCCAGAATCACTGGCCATCTCAGGAACCTAAATTGGAGGTACCTACCATATATAGGGCCCATTTTTTAGGCCTATGTAAGGGAATATCCCCACAAAATAAGGCCTTTTGCGGTACAGTACCCCCCATTCGATTCAAATCTTGGCCCTGGACCATGATGAAAGTGGCTGCCATGCTCAAGTCTAACACCTTTCTAGCTGTGACACCCAAATGGAAAAATGGATTCTACTAGGGGAACCTGTGGTCAAAGTCATCAAAAATTGGGATCAAATCCATCAAACATCAGGATTTGACCAGGAAACGCATGGGAATATAATAATGACCTGCTTGCGATATTTCATGAGATAGCAATTGGAAAATCGCCCCGAAATAATGCTCGAATTTGCGGGGGCTCCTAGTTCGCTGTGAGAATCCCAACTTTGAATCAAGGGAGAAATCATCAAGCTACCTGGTTTTATCCTGGTTTTTAAAGGATCTAGTGGAAACCATGAATTTGTCAGCCACATCTGAGGGGGTGTTCCTGTAACATATGCCATGAACCAAGTCTGAGACTCCCCGGAAAAATATGAATTTGCCTGGCATTACCATCGCATTTCGTAGGATGGGAACAAAAACTGTGTGTTGGCGTGAACACCACAAACCAGTTGTGATTTTTAGCTGATACTTGGGTGGAACATTGAGTGGTAAATATTCTAGTTATTCTAGCGGATACAACTTACTAGTGCAACACCGGGTGCTGAAGAACCACATCATGGATCTCATGGATCAAGCTCGATTGTTCTGCTGCTTGTACTGCAAAACTTGGAAGGTTTCAGACTTGGGTTTGTCTGAAAATGGGATACCCCAAAATCTCATGGTTGGTCAGTTTATGTCAGTTTGCCATCCCGACCATCCTCAACTGACATAGCTATGGCAGCTATGGAAAATGGCCCATTTACAGCTGATTTCTCCATTTAAACTGCTGAATTTTGCTCTGTGAAAGTACCAAAGGGTACCACCAATATTGGGGATGGACCAAAACTCCAAAAAATAAACCTACCACTTGGGGGTGGTAAACCTACCACCCATCATGGTGATGACTTCGGGATTGTTTTATTTTTAAGGCTTTACCACATTATTACCCCCTGAGAACACTATAAATGACAGTTAAATCCCATATAAATCCCATATAAATCCCATATAAATCCCATATGCCTGGAGGAATAAACCATCCATAACTCCCAGCGACTCATCCTTAACGGAACCGAACCGCGGATGGTTCCCGCACCTTCCCAGCGGGGTTCCAGCGGCCTGTAAAAATCCAAACAAATCCCAAACAGATGATCCAAACTGGTAGAGTTGCGCTGATCTTCCCAGTAAGAATAGTGATTTGTCACATGATATATATATATATGTATCTTATGTATATATATATGTATCTTATGTATATATATATATATGTATCTTATGTAAGAATAGTGTATTTTATGTGATCTCTGGTATATATATATAATATAGAGTAAATAATAAATATAGGAAAGAGTTGATGCCATGCACTGCCCATTTCTCCTCTGAACACTAATCAATCTGCATACATCCGGCTAAATAACAATGACACACCGACCTGAAATTGACCTGTAACTTTAAGCGATGGTTCCTCTACTCCAGAATCACTTCTGGTCAGGTTGCAGTGACGTGGTCATAGTTTACCCATAAATAAATGAATGTATATATATATATATATACATATCTCTATATACATATATATATATATGTATATATATGGTCCATATATATATATATACAATTATATATACATACGTATTTTATATATACATACATATATATATGTATGGATCTATCTGAAAATAGGCTACACCAAAATCCCGTGGCCCATCATTCTTTTCCCTATCAAACTGCCCTTCTTTCAGAGACACCAGCCTGGACGGCCGGAGGCGGAGAATTTGTCGAGCCAGAAGCTGCAGATGGTTGGATGGGCCAGCGAAATCCTGCACGAGTGGGGATGCCTTTTAAAAAGGGATTCCGGTAAAACACTGTAAACAATGGGATTATTAGATGGGATGTAAAAACCATCTACCAGCTGGTGCAGGAGTTCTTCCATCCACAGCATGTACGTGGGGATGATTATTTTGAATCATATATATATATACATCTACAAACCATTATATATGAGCAGAGATATCACGAGATATAAGTATGATTAAATATGTATCTATACAATTCTATAGAAATATTGTTTATATAACGTATCGACACAATGCGTAGTATGCATTTATTGTATTTGTACGGGGATGTATGTGTGTATATACATGGGACTTTAATCGATAAATGAAGATTGAATGTACTGTAGACCAGCAAACTAATATGAGACTGAAATCACAAACCATCCAATATCCGACCAGTACCCTCTGGTAATTTAACATAGCCATTGAAAATGGCAATTTATAGTTGATTTACCCAGCTGTAAAATGGTGATTTTCCATAGTTTTTTGTTAACGTTCACCAGAGCGTAAGACATTTTTCGGGCAAACACTACACTGATTTGCAGCGTCCACTGGACTATGTACATCGCTGCGCTGCCAAGATGGCTATGCCGGCAACACAAGCGCTGGGAAATGCCGTGAGACAAATGGCAGGTGAGACATGTATATGTATTGTGTGTATATATATACACATAATATATCTATATATTATGTATATATATATATGTATGTGTATACATATATATATATATTGTATTATATATGTATCACTGTCACTGTGCTGTTTCGCACATTCTCAAACAAAGCCATTTGCTGATTCGCACTTTAACTCAGCGGCGCTTTGGCAACTGTGGCAACTGCGCGTTGCTATCCCTGCGCGTGGTGACAGCTTGCTTCTGGTTGAATGTGAAAATAGGGAACATCCAAGAGATACTGTTACATCTTGAGTGGTATATCTGGATACTGTATAATATACAACTATTATATATATATATGTATGTATGTATGATATGTATATATAACTACACAGCATTGTATATATATACATACATATTAATATAATGCACATATTGCCGATGATACATGTATTCTAATATCTCCCCTATGGCAATCTATCATAATCTATCATGATCCTAGCCGTGTTTTTGGCATCATTTAGGATGCCCAAAAAAGGTTCAGGTCTAAAATCCTCTTTGGGAAGCTCAAAACCGGAGCAACAAAGGACCTACAAAATTGGTCACTTTAAAATTAGTTAGTGGGTGTGTATATATATATATACCGTCTGGTAAATTAACATAACTATTGACAATCACCATGCTATTAATGGGTAAATCAACTATTTCGACTGGGCCATGTTCAATAGTTATGTTAGTTTACCAGAGGGTATATATATATTATTTTTATTCTCCAGCTGGTATAGCACCAAACATAACTAACACGAATCCATCATTCGTAAAAAGTTGCTACAATATTCCCACTGCGTCGCGTTTTGGTTGATCAATGTGCCTGTTTTGATTACTGCAAACCCCAACAATACCGAACCCAATTTTTCTTGGTTATCCCATTACCCCAATATTTCTTTGGTTATAGATCCCTGTGAGTTTTGGTAAATCCATCATCTTTCATTGGTTACCCTAGGGTAAACTAAGCGATTGATGTGGAAATTCGCGATGGATTTTCTACATCGATATTGGTTTCCCCTAGGGTCCAGTTACCACAGGACGACCTGAGAACTTCCCCGTGAGGCACCTCGAGGACCTCGACAGCGAACGGGGTATAGGGTATACCCATTGTATCACTATGATATGTCCCATAGATTTCCCATACTGTATGTAGGCTTATTTTCCTATATTTAACCATGATATACTATGATGATCGTGATGATTGTCTTAAATATAGGCTAGCCTATAAAGTATATACCCTCCCAAATGGATCCAAATGCCCATGTTCATCCATATTTTAAGATACTTTAAGATATCTTAAGATGGAAAATTATGATGAAACAATATGTTGCCTGATGTTTCTCCAAGTGATAGTGGCTTGGCAGCCACACCTCGCCCCCAGCGGAAGCAAACATGCCATGATAAGCCCCATACCAGGTATCTACAAAACTTGGAGAATATCTGGAGAAGTCTGAAGTCTGCAGTCAGATTTTCTCCTCGCAAGCAAGCTTTGATCACATGCGGCAATGGCCTTTCGAAGTTTGAAACGCACTCAATGAATTGCTGATGCCGAAGTGGAGTAGGGCCGAGTAGGGCAACTGCATTCATACAAAGCCGCAAACATGGCAGTCAAACACAAACCTATTCCATCGACTAGTAACTTCCCAAAGAAGGACTTGCAAACACACTTGTATGCACTTGTCAAGTAAAGTGCATGCAGCTTGCAGTTGCCTGCTACAAAAAGCACCAAAGGTCTTTGACGGTCTTTGATTCAAGACGCATGGTGAATTCCAACTTGACATTTCGCCATGGTGAAACTATAGCTGCATTATCATCATCCCAAGCGAATGCCCGCGCCTAAAAGTGCTTCCATTGCAGCAGTGTCTTCATCCGAGAGCGTCAAGCGATCATAGTCAGGCTGTGGAGACACTTCCTTCGTCAATTTGATAAAGTCGTCTCGATATTTCTTGGAGTAGGGATGACTGCTTCCCTCGATCTCTGTGTGCAAAATGGTGGCTTTCTTGAGCCAGGGCAAAGATTCTGGCATGTGGCCGAGCGCCTTCAGTGTTATGTGCATATTCCAAAATGAAACTGCACACCACACTGTCTTGCGTCCCAGATCTGACTTCAAGAATTCGCGCAGTGCCATGATGAAGAATTGGTTTGCTGGTCCCAAGTGGTCTTGACATAGTTCAATGACCCCCAGAACACGATAGGCGTTGCCTGTAGTCGGATGATTCAATGCGAAGAGCTTCGTGAACATTTTGCTTGGCAGTCTCAATTATTCCATCATTTGATGACGGAGCCTGGGATGGACATTCCCTGACCAAAACGGGCTGCAGAATGGCAGTGGAAACATGGCTCAGAGCCGCATGCCCCGGTTGCAGGCGAAGCTAGACGCCATTCGAAAATGTCATGCCAAGATGGCGTCAAGATCCAGGACATGTCAAGGCTTACAGAAGTTACGCCTGCGTATTGCAAACTGCTACTGCATCCTGAAAATTTCCCCTGCTTCCACTGATTCAAAACAAGTATTTCGGATAGAAGTGAGCCATTTTAGCAAGTAGTAATTGCTATGAACATGACCTTGCAATACATAGAAATGCAAGACTCTTATGTGAGAAACAAAACATAAGCAATTGACATTGACATGAAAATCGCCTTGAACTTTTCTGGGAGGGGCAGCTAACATATGCAGCATACAAGAATAGAGACCACTGAATCAGCGAGTGCACATTGAACTTGATGCCAGGATCGATGTCAAGAACCCAATGAATTAAAGGACTTGTGAACCTGGCTCCATGCACTGTGGATCTCTGGAAAACTACATAATTATAGGATTATTGGGGACACCTTATTTTCCAACAAACAGGACTGAATATGTATAACGACTATATATATTAGTATATATAAAGTATAACAAACTACAGTATATATGTTTGATTATATTTGTTTCTAACCTTAACAGGAACAGGACTGTCCAGCTTAAACATCGCGGACCATCCGTGTATGGCATCTAAAGTCACCCCGAAAGTGACCCTTCTGATGTGCATTGATACCCTGTGTATCAAACATGGCTAGCTGGGAAATCCCCTATATACAGATGAACATTTAACATATAAATGATTAAATGGATGTAAAAATGAATATAAAAATGGATATAAAATGGATGGATATAATTGAAATATAATCAACAATAATCAACATGATATAAATGTTGGTTTTTTGCAGATTTTTCCATGCTTGATGCCCAAAGAACAGCCACTTTCGGAAACGCCACCTTTCAGAACTCGTCTTGGAGCTGTTGCGAGGTCGACGGAAGCCCCGGTCCTTGCGACCGACGGCCCCCAGGGACCCATTGGGAGAACATGACCTACCATGACCTACAATGTGAGGCCCCCAAGATAGCTAAGTTGGTTTATAACTCCAATAACTATGGTTTATGGTACTTATAACTATAGTTACTGGGGCTTATAAACCAACTTATAACTGGGGGGCCTCACATTGTACCAATTTGAATATTTACCATCCAATAATGATAGCTTACCAATACTCAAATTGGTAGGTCATGGTCATTTGAATATTTACCAAGAATGATGGAGTTACCAATGATCTGGTTGGTGGTTGACCTACCCCTCTGAAAAATGATGGAGTTCGTCAGTTGGGATGATGACATTCCCAATATATGGAAAAACAAAAAAGTCATGTTCCAAACATTTCCGAACCATCCAATAATGATAGCTTACCAGGGTTACCAACCGATTCATCATCATTTCGTATCATTTCATGTAGTTTAACATACCCTCTGGTAAATAAACATAGACCCTGAACATAACCAATGTTTAATGGAAACTAATCTTCCAAGTCCTATTTGCCAGGGTCTATGTTAATTTACCATAGGGTATCCTTCAGAAGATCTAAAACAAATCCGAGTCGATGTCTGCCAAAGGCAACGATGCTAGCACCGCGCTCTCCTGGCCCACAGATGTTGCCACTTCAATGGCCGCAGCAGCCTGGGGCTGATGAGATAACCTTAATGATTACAGGGCTGATGGATGGTACTGGCTTGAAATATGTTGAAATATGGCATGAAATACCAACAAAGGTACTGGCTGACTGCTTGAAATATGCTGAAATATGTTGGAATCCTCTGAACACTGCGAGTCCTGCCTGCTGATTGGCCTGCTGATTGCGTTTCGGAGCTTCAGAGCGAGCCCTGCCACATCCGGTGTCATCAGTCACATGGCTTGGAGGAAAATCGCCCCAGTTCGATGCTTTCCCCAGCTGTAAACCTCCATTTAGTTCGGGGATTTCCCAGATAGCCATGTTTCCATTACTGCAGAGTATTTGTATTTTGACATCTTGGGAAACTCTCTAGTCACCAGTCAGTGTCAGCTGGAAAGCAGTTCTGAGTCCCCAATTTGTATCGAGGACGAAAGCTACGCAGCTACTGGCTAGTTCGCAGACAAAACAAAGAGCGACAACTCACAATGAAGCGATTTTCAACTCCATTTCAGTACATCACAATCATGGTATATATATATATATCCAATTATCTAAATATATATTTAGAAGTTTAATTAATTACTTTTTTCGATATTCACAATCATGAATCATCATCAATCAAAAGCAAACAATCCGATTTTTGATATTCACTGGAATATGTAACTCATCAATCAAGAGTTTAATTCCAGTCTTTGATATTCACTGATTTTTTTTTGTAACCAATCATTGTAACTAATCATTAATCATTGGACTAAGATTTAATTACAATTATGTAACCTAATGATTAGTTACTATTATTCACCGGTACACCTTTAATTCCAATGCAACTCAACGTCGAAGGTATTCGCCTGTTGGAGGCTGCTCCAGCATTGAGCCTGGGACAGCCGGGACAGCGCCAGGGGCGTTTCAAGAGAGTGACTGGGGACCCAAGACCAACAATTACATATATAATGTATATAATATGTATATACAAATGTATATAAATGATTATGTGTATATATATATGTTATATAATACACATATGTTTTGAATTGTTATGGTTTAAGCAACACATATTTCAATTCTTCTCAATTTATATAACCAAAAAAAACGGATTTAGCCCAGGGAAAGTGGACGTTTTTTCATTGACGCAGCTCTTCCAATGGCCACGGCCGACTGCCAGGGCCGTCCATATTTGTCCCAGTTGCTGAGCTGCTGTTCGACCACTTGAAGCCTGGCACCAAGGGCAACTGTGGGAACGGTAAATTGATACGAATGATAAGATATCCCTTTTTTACATACCACAAGATACCCTTGCTTTCATTTATACAGAACTCAGTTTTTGTGTTTTTCCGACTGTCTATATATAGATCTATACAATATATATATATATATCATAGATTTATAGAGTATATATATATAACTATATATATAATTATATATATATATAACATATTGCTCCAGGATTTTCCAGGTCATCGCTCCATTCTCAAAGTGACTTTGCACCCGGAACGGATCCTGCCTTGTTTTCCGGCAACGGCGGCAAGGACGCCGACTTGGTGACGGCCCCGGAAGCAGCGGCAGGACCTTTAAAACGGGGACGGTGATCATCGGACGTGACGCATGATGTGAAGTGGCGAAGTTGGCAGAATGACTGTCAAAGAATGGGAGAATATGGGATAATTCATGTTTAATCATGGGATATATCAAATAATGGAATAACATGGAATAACTATTCAATGATGATTGTCATGATTATATAAAAACTATAAACTAATTGATGATTTGGTGATGTGGGACCATGCTAATGACTATGAAACAATGGGAGAATGGTTGATGAAATTGTCATGAGTCATCAGTCATGAGTGATAATTCTAGGGGGCCAAGTAGTGACTATCAAATAATTCGGTGGTTGATAAATGACTAATTGCAAATGACGGTCAAATGACTTTTACTTGCCATGATTCTTGTATTGGGAAAATCTTAACCTTTGACTTTTTTTGGGGCCAAACAAGTTTCTATATGTCACTCTAGAGACTGTTGGTTGATGATTACGCTAATTAATGGCATGCAACCAACGTTTATGGGGGAGATTAAGCCACAAGTAACTTCAAATAATTACAATACATTACAATTCTCAAAGATCCCCAAAAAGTGTAAATTGATGGGTTTGTATTCCCTATTGAATAACCGAATAACACCACACATATTCGCAATATTGGCAGTCTCAACCTCCCTGAAACAATTATCATCATCCCGAACTGGTTGAACAAAAAAAATGTTTGACACCACCAGCCAGTGAATAATCAGTATGTGCAAATTCCATCCAACTGTTACTATTCACAAAGCTGCAAAAAATGATACCTGATACCTTGTGGTAATTTAACTCAGCTATGGAAAATCACCATTTCTAGTAGGTAAATCATCATTAAATGGGCCATAGTTTTCATAGCTACAGTAACTACATCTAAATATACACATTTTTAAATATACGAACTCATATGACCTCCGGGGCCTTGTGGTCCGGCCCGGCCTCATATTAAAATGTCGTTACCATATGTTAAATCAGAGGGTATGCAATTTCTAGCACCATGAATGGATATGGGGTATGTTAACATATCCATGGCCTATTGGCCCATAATCCCAATGAAACTATCCATGGCTCAGGTAGTGGGATCGCCGTCCAGTTGGGGCTGCCAGATTGCGGGGATCTCCAATCTGGACAGGATTTTCTGGACAGAAATTCACATCTGGAACTGCCATCTAAAATTGGTTTGATTAAGAAAACATCAGGAAATTAAATCATATTAAATCTAAAATTGGTTTCATGACTTGATTCAAGGGACATCTCTAAAGTTTTACAGCAAACCCTGGGTTTTTTTCCACCCAACTATGGGGTCAAAATCCAACCATCCGCCGGGTCAAAATGGCCTGAGCCGCTGCGGGTCCCTCTGCCACGGCCTTTGCCTATGGAGGACAAAGGGGACGATCCAACAACTGGTGATTCTCAGTTGGACAAATCCTATACGAATGACAGGAACAACCCCAGGAACAACAGCCCACAAAAAACGGGGGAATCACTGAATTTCTTGAAGTGTGGATATTGTGAATGTGTTGTTGTTTTTTTTTCTGAAAATGGGATTCCACCTATTGACATCATCCCTATCTCGGTCTGAAGATAGGGATGGTGAATCAGCATTGTTCACCGTGAAACAAAAAACTCATGGTCATCCCGCTCATCTTATTTTTCAGACAATTTCAGACACACCAACATACCCTCTGGTAATTTGTTACATAGCTATTGAAAATGGCCATAGAAATAGTGGATTTAGCCATTAAACATGGTGATTTTCCATAGTTTTTTGTTAACGTTTACCAGAGGGTAACTTTGAAACAGTTAGATGCTTGGTGAAGTATATCCTCTGGTGAACTAACATAGCAATGGAAAATCACCATTTTTAATGGGAAAATCCACTATAAATGGCCATTTTCCATTGCTATGTTAGTTCACCAGAGGGTATCCCCAGTTAAAAAAAAACACACATGATATGCCCATTCGCCTGGGCCAGCGGAGACTGCAGCCGATTTGCCTCCTGTCCACAGATACGTACAGATGTGTTACAGATATGTCAGATATGTAGTATACTAAGTATAAATACCTGTATGATTATGTATAATTATACATATGTATATACATATGTATACATGTCTAAGTCATTGACCTATTTGAGTTACCGTGTTACCTCTGTGTTTCAGCCATCAGCCGTAGTAGACTGGAAACCAAAGATTTGAACCAACTGGTGACATCTACGAAATGAAAAAAGCAGCTTGAGCCACAATCCAAGATGGCAATGGACAATCCACAATTAGATGATTTTTCCCAGCGAGAAAGCTTCATTTCTATATAGGCTATAGAGCTATAGTTTTTTTTTCATATTTTCCAATGATATCTTTCTAATGCTGTGCCCATTTTCACATTGTTTATAGATGATTTCCCAGCTAGCCATGTTTCATGACACTGGAGGGTACCCCTGCATCAGTCCTCTGCCTTCATTGGCACTTGGATCAGCCTTGGGCCTCGTGCTGACTCCATCGCATCATGGGAGTCTCTAAACGTAAGGGGCCGTAACGGGTGTATATACATGCGTATATATATATATAGATAATCCTTACATCATTCATGATTCAATTTTTTCATCCTCAAATATCCGTTGGAGTCCCCCTTTTTGTTCCCCCTTTTTTTAATGGATGATGGATGTTTTGTTGGGAAGATCGTCCTATGGCTGGTCGACTTTCCAGGCTCCCCCCACGCAAGTTGTCTGGACTCGGGTCGCTTGCTGCTCAATGGGACACCTCACTGTGCCGGCCCAGGTCATCGCGGGTCATCGTCATAGTGGCGAGCCGCAATAGACCGGTCATGGTTAGATATGCTGAATATCATAGTCACAATCAAAAAGATAGAACAGTAACAGTAAATTATCATTAATTCTCATTATTTTCGATGATTTTTGGATGAATTTACCAACTTCTATTTTTTTTGAGGGTAACTATCATAGATTCATTTTGGGTGCGAAACTGGGCTGGGAAAGCGCCCTCCCAGTTAAGGCCGTGACCCTGATGAACTGCAGTGAGTAACTGTTCATGTTCATTTACAATCATTGAATACACAGGTATATAAAGGTATGGATATTCTTTAGGTGGTTCTTATTCATGGGATTTTCACATGAGGTAAATGTTGGTAGAAGTCGGTAGAAGTCGGTAGATGTTGGGCGTCCCTGACATGGCTTCGCCGCCGCTCCACACTCTTGGGTGGCCTGCGTTTCACCAAATCCCCGAATTAGTTCGACTGCATGACAGCATCCCAACAGCAGGCTGTATCTGGCCAAAAAATACTTCTGATCCCCAAAGAACAACTAGCAAAAAATCACTGACTCACCCAAAAAAAGCCGTAGGACAAGTAGCTTTGTCCAAGAGGTGCATCATGTTCTCCATTCTCCAATGGCCATTTGGAGGGTTGATCACGGTTGATAATCATTTTCAGACAAACCCATATCATATGGTTGGTTTCTATATCCCATTTCGTCCCACATCCCCATTTTTACCCCAAATCCACATCTTCATTGCTTTGGATCCATGGTTTTGTTTGGTACAGTACCTATGAATTATGGAACAAGAAATCTTGTAACTCCTGACATGTCTTACTGGTGCTTAGTTCGCAGGGAATTTTCGGGAATGATCCATACTCACTATATCTCACTATCAATAATAATCCCAGCAACCCCCAGCAACCCATCCATTCCCTACGTAAAACGCACCAGTGAGGTCTGACAAGAAAGATCTTGACAATCATTACTCGGAGGACCATCCCACTTTTTCGTGGTTCCTAACCCTGGTGAACGTAAGTCCCCAAGTCCCACCGGCTTAGTCCATTGATTGGTGGCTTATAACTTATAACACCTTATAACATCTTATAAACCACTAACCATATCTAACCATTGAACACCCTTTTTTTCGTATAACATCTTATTATCCCCCAAAAATCTTACTAACCTAACCTATCTAACCTGATTAGTATGACTTAAGTGGGTTAATAGTAAAATAAGTGGAATACTAACCTTACTGACCTTACCTCATAGTGGGATGATCCAACTCCGCCTCGACCTGTTGGACCTGGACTTGCGGTGCCTTGCCAAGTCCTGATTTGAAAAATCCATGGCCACAAATGAATATATATATGGGGATATATATGTTTACATATGTATATATATATATTGGATATATATATAATATATATATATATGGATATATATATATATGGATATATATATATGGATATATATAATATGGGATTCATATTGGATCATCAATGGATTCTTGGATCATGTAGGCTGAATGTCTCCAACTTGGAAGATCTGAAAAACACAAAAAACGGAATCTCAGCGTCCTCCAGGCGAAGCCTGCGCAACGAAAAAAGTGCATCATCGACATCACAACATCCCTAGAAATCTCCTAGAAATATCTAATTATATAGTAGAATTACATTATATTACATTATATATATTAGAATCCATGTAATAGAATGTAATAATAATATCCTAGAAATCTAATATATTACATTATATTACAGTATACAAGATATAGATTGATATAGTATGATATAGTAGAATTCGCCCCCCTTTCTACAACCACGATTTGTTCTTTGAACATCGTTGAACTGACCCCCAGTCGCGCCAAGCAGCTCTCATGGAGTTCACATCCACTGAATTGTCGAGCTAGGGAAAAAAACAATTGGCAGTAATTGGCAGTACAGTAATTAATTGAGCAATCTTTACTGGTTGGTGGTTGACCTACCCCTTCTGAAAAATATGAAAGTCAGTTGGGATGATTCTTTCCAATATATGGAAAAATAAAATTCATGTTCCAAACCACCAATCAGTTTAGATATGTCTGGATATTTTTGGGACAACTCCTCCAGTTCCAACATATCATTGAGAAAGGCCGCCTCTCGGTACGGATCCATCTGCGGAACTTCGCGTTGCGGAGGGGTCTGCCATGAATCCGGAGGATTCACCCTATGTGAAAGCAACAATCATGGGGCAAGTTCAACAGAAGAAAAAGACACATCGGGCTTTAACCCACCAAAATAAATAAGGTTGCTAATTCAGCAGCATATATATAGTTTATTATAGTTTTCCCTTCATTCCTTCACCACCATCTCAGGTTGCGAATACAAAACCGAGGCATCTCGTCGTACACGATCAAAATCTTCGACCCAAACAAATGGATACACATGGATGATCTAATTGATCTACCCTCTGGTAAACTGACATAACTATGGAAAATCACCATTTTCAATGGCTAAATCCACGAACTAAATCACCATTTTCAATAGCTATGTAACACATTACCAGAGGGTAATTTGCTAAACCAAAGAATTTTGAGAAAAAAATGTGGGTGAAGAGTTGCCTCAATGTTGATCTCAAAATATCACCTGCTTGACCAGCATGGATCGTTGGCTAACTAGGAACCACCACCGCCACCTCGACCGTTGCCAACGATGATGTCACCGTCACGGGCCTGACAGGTTTTGAATGGGGAGATATTTTGAGTGTATCAAACGATCCATGTTTTTTTGGTCTGTTTGATACCATAATATACCATCTGGTTATTTCACATAGCCATGGAAAGATCCACCATTTTTAATATATAGGTAAACGGTAAACCATCTATAAATGGGCCATCTATACCATGGCTATGTTAGTCATAACCAGAGGGTACAGGGTACCCTTTGGTAATCAAACATGGCTTGCTGGAAAATCCCACCATTTTAGAACCTGATTTTCCCAGCTATCAACGGTCCCGAGATGTCCCCAAGGCTCCAACGGTCCCGGGTTGACACCTCAGCTGTGCACCCAGCAGGAAGCCACCAACCAGGGGGGACACTGAGAATATCACCATTCTGGTCATGGGATTCCAGGAATCCATCAGCTATTTCATCCATGACCCTCTGGCCAACATCATCTGGTTGGTGGTTGACCTACCCCTCTGAAAAATATGAAAGTCAATGGGAAGGATGACATCCCATGTATTATGGAAAAATAAAAACATGTTCCAAACCACCAACCAACATAATGATTGAACATCACGACTCTTCTGTAAATCAAGTATCACTCAAAATCTGCCGTTTTTTTTCCATGGCAAACTGTTAGCTTACAAGAGGGTATATCCCAAATTTCTGCCTTGAAATACCATGAAATACCCATCTCTTTTTCCCACCCTGGGCGTGTCCCTGGGCGTTTCCCACTGGGTTCTGGCGAGCTCCTGGGGGACAACATGGGAGGCGACAGGGGCGAAGCCAGGCGATCCGAGGAATGCCCGCGCCTCCGGTCGTATGGCGCGCCGAAAAAAAAACAGGGGGATGTGGGTTTCCATAGTCAGGTACCTCAATAGCTGGATGGTTTATGATATGGAAACTCCAAAAAAAAATTGGGGAACACCCAAGTTTTTCAGGTACCAAATGCATTTTTGATGGTTGAAACATCTGGGAAAACCTAGCGACACCATGATAATCTGCTGGTGGGTTTGACTTTCTAGAACGGTCCCACATGACCACTTTTTTGATGGCCAGTCCGAGTTGCATACGACCGCTTCTGATCTCCATTTTGATTTTAGTATATTTAGTGAAACTTGAAAATACCAGCGTTTGACGGCTTTTACTCTCTTCTCAACAACCGAGGGTCCGACATCAAGATATTTTAGAACAAACCAGGCCCAGAATAGACGGGAACATCCCTGTGGAATTTCATGGTCACTTTTTTCTTGCAACATAAGGGGTTAATATTTTGCTAAGGGGAAGGGTGCATGGCAACAACACAAAAAACATCTGCATAGACTTGGGATATCTTGGGATCCTATTTTTCTTTTACAACTTCAAAAGGTAAAATGTGCCATTTGCAGAATTTGGGCTTGAGTCTGACATAACTATTCATCTGACATAAATTCTGACATTCTATCTGGCAGATTCTCTGGCAAACAATTTAGCGCTCTATCTGGCACATATTCTGACATACTCTCTGACCTTTTATCTGGCATATTTTCTGGCATATTTCTGGCATTTATTCTGACATTCTGTCCGGCATGTATTCTCACATATTTTCTGCCATTCTTCCTGGCGTGTTCTCTGACAATATTCTGACCTTCTATCTCGCATTCTATCTGGCATACGTTCTGACAATTTCTGGCATTTTGTCTGGCAAATATTCTGACCTTCTATCTCGCATTCTATCTGGCATATGTTTTGACAATTTCTGACATTTTATCTGGCAAATATTCTGACATTCTATCCGGCACATGTTCTGACACATTTTCTGGCCCTTGTTCTGACATATATTCTGACATTCTTTCTGGCACGTTCTCTGACTCTCCACCTGGCATATATTCTGACATTCCATCTGACCTTCTACCTGGCAAATATCCTGACGTATTTTCTGACATTCTATCTAGCATGCATTCTGGCACATATTCTGTTATTCTATCTGGCACACATTCTGACATGCTATCTGCGGTTGGTGCTGCCCACTGCGATCCGAAGCTGGTGGTTGAAGTCCGGTGCCGCCCACCGTCATCCGGAGCTCGCGAAGGGGAGGCGAGAAGGATTGAGGGAACGACGAGGCGGAACAGTTCTGATAAAATCTGACGGCCCTCACCTGGCAGGTGGGGAACAAAAACCCGCTGTGAGGTGATCACCTGTTTTGGCAAGTGGCGGGGCGGGGCGTGTTAGCGTTCCTTGTAACTGGAGCACGCAGTTAGGGTGGGTCGGGTTGGGTGGGGCTGGGTGGGGCTGGAGCACGCGGTGTCGCCATGTTGTGTATAAGGG